TAATAAAATAGCATTGTTTGAAACTGAAATTTTTTTTTTCATAATCTTTAGGTGATTATATAGAAGCTATTTAAAAGCTATTTTTTTATGAAATCTAATAAAATTGTAAACTCAAAATAGTATTGTTTGAAACTGAAATTTTTTTTTCATAATCTTTAGGTGATAATACGTACTATATCGAAACGTTGTTCCTTTATTCCTTCGTCTTTAGGCCTCATTCCTTCGTCATCGAATTAGATTTCTTTATATCCAGCTACTGCCGTTGCCAACAAAAGGCCTGAAGAAGAAGCATCGCCCGCAGAGATAAGAATGTAACCATTTTGTATCCATTGGAAAAATGTTAAGTGCGTTCTTTTAAGCACGAATGATATACATTTCGTTGAACAATTTGTGTCTGGAATTAAATTCGGCCGTTGAATGGATAAACGAGTGTGATTGTAAAGCGGCGGGAGATCTAGCCGTCATTTAACAGCAGGCCACTTAAGAAATCCAATAACATTAATCGGCACAGATAATTAACTATCCGATACGAATAATGGCGAGTGATTTGGTACCTTCTCGGCGCGACCACAAAGGATATTAGTTCATTTTGGACAAAAATGTTATCTCATCAGGTGCTTCCACAATAACACCATTTCATTTTATACGAAGAATAAACGATTTGTTTTAACACCTGTTTTTTTTTCAACTTAATATTTTTTAATTTCGCTATTAAAAATTATTCTGGAATGTTTTTTTTATTTTTCAATTCTCGTCAGAATTTTTACTTTTTTGGTGTACACAATGACTCTATCAAAAGTTTCGATGTTTACTCATCATTTAAATGTCACGTCATTTAAATCTGATCATGGGAATGAATAAAAAATGATTCGTGCATTTTATTCTTTAGCTTGATGTCTGTTAGTTCACCAAGTGTTGGTTTTTAGGCCATGCTATTATCGAAATATTATTGACTTGATATTCAGCTCGTAATGTACCATTTGAAATGTAATAGGAGTTGAAGGAAATAAAAAATGACAAATGTTATTATACTTTTAATAAGAAATCAAAAAAGTTTCCTAATTTGATTATTGTGAAGTGATTTACAGTTATTTTTTTGATCGGATTTTAATGAAGTCAAATTTGTGCTTTTGTGCTTTTTGTATCTGCAAAATTTCCAATATACTCCTATTAGCTTTGATTTTTTTCTGAATTTTGGTTTTAAAACTTTCACACTTAGAGTTTCTACCGAAAAGTTAGAATTTTGAGTTTGAAGCTAAAAATTTTCTAGAATTTTGAATTTTAAAGACAAAAAAGAGTCGTATTTCAAAATTTGAACTTAGAATTTTTTATTTAGATTTAAATATTTTTTGGCATTCAGAATTTTGAGTTTGAGTCAGAATTTTACATTCAAATTTAATATGTAATAAAATTCCGTGTTTCTGAGTAGGAATTTGTGAAAAGTTTATAATTCAGGATTAGTGGGAAAGATACAGAATTTTGAGTTCCAAACACAAGATCTTCAATTATGTTTGATTTTCAACGTTGTTGAATTCCGGGTGTAGGAGTCAAAATTATAAATTTTTTTGAAGTTTTTAGGAGGAATCTGAATTTAATCTAATGAGAAATATGTAGGTAGGTTTTAAAGTTCTGCACACTCAGAATTTGATTTAACAGTACGGAAAAATGAGAAATAAATAAATAAGAAAAAAATGCATTTGCTGCGTTGTAAAAAAAAGGAAAGAATTTTGCTTTGAACCAATAATTGTTAAAAGAAATGTCAAAAAAATCAATTCGTTGAAGGCAGAGATGTAAGAGATTTTCTATAGCAGAACTTTAAAACATTTTAAATTGCTGAAATCTTCTAAGCTTCTTATAACAAAATAATAACATTCTAGTTATTTCAAAGAGCTCGAAAAAAATAAATAATAATAAGAGTCATAATAATAACTCGTCATTTTTGGACAATAATTTTTTCAATCGTAATAAACACTATTTTAATAGTTTTCACCTTGGGCTAGACCACTGAATGTTTTTTACCGGAGTAGTCATGTAAAACAAGAAATTAAACTTTAAATTTTAGATTTATTCTAGTCCGGTCAAATTAGTCATAAATATAGTGGTCAAATAACGAAAATTTTGACAGAGCTAAATTTTGGTGGTGACCTTGGGTACACCATTAGAAATAAAGTGTCAAAAGTTCCCATCGATCTCATGTGTGCTAAAAAAGGGGTCATAAGTCAAAATTTTAGGTTTTTTGGATTTTTTTCGAAAACGGTAAATTGGGGACTTTTGACACTTTATTTCTAATGGTGTACCAAAAATGGTCTCCACCAAAATTTAGATTGTTATTTGAAATGTCTATTTTGACTATTTATGATATATTATGTTTTTATGTTTAAGTATACTATTTTGTGCTGTTAGGTATAAATGAATAATTAGATATTGCAGTACACTAGCACTCCAGTTTTTTATTGTTTCACTTTTTTCCACTTTAATTTTAAAATTGTAATCAGAAACGTTTCTTTTACAAATTGCAAAGGTCGATTTTTTGTTAAACACAATTATTACTAAATAGTTATTTATTCTACGAGTTTGAGTGTAAATCAGACGCATTATTTTACTAGTGGATTTTTACACTCAAATGAGTTGAACTTTAATAAATTTGCTTTAAATCTGTTAAAAATAATCGGACGTTTCGTATTGAGAAATGCTAAACATTTGTTAAAACTTCCTTACACGAGAGAAAAACCGTGACAGTGTCTAAGAATAAATTATTTTTACACCAATTCTTACGAAGTAAGTGTCATATTTCTCAGATGATTTTTACAATTTGCATTGCTGTTAAAGACAAAGAAAAAGCAATTTTTTTCTAACTGTTACGAAAATAAACAGACTGAGATTTTGTTTTATCACTTAATTTAATGTAGGCATGTTAGATAAGATATTTCTATACTAGGCTTAGATTTTGTGTTTATGTTTTAAATTAGAAATTTTTTTGTGTTTTTAATATTGACCTGTAAAATCTTGACTGGACCTTCTGTTTTTTGTTAAAATTTGGTTTCTAAATTCAGCCACAAATTCTTGGAGCCCCGTGCCTTTTAATTTTTATTTTTTATTAAAAGTGCCAATTTTTTATGGAAATTGTTTTCAAAAATTTTTTGTCACGTCACTTTTCTTCGTTTTCTCCAGGATGTAGCGGCTCGTGGCGTTGACGTTCCCGAAGCAGACTGCATTATCCAATACACAGGTCCGCAATCAGACGACGACTATCTTCACAGAGTTGGAAGAACAGGTAGGGCTGGAAAATCCGGATCTTCGTTGATTTTCCTCACTCATGAAGAACAAGAATACATTGCCAGGTTGCAAGATCACAAAGTATTGTAAGTCTTCACGATTAAAACAGTTCAAAATAATGAATGAATTAGTTTGAAAGAACGCGACTCTTCTGAATTTCTCAAACACCTGTGCATCCTGATGGAAGAACCTGAGGAGGAGAAAGCCGCAACGGCCCTTCAACGTCGCTTCGAAACGGCGTTATCGAAAGACAAGGACTTGCACCGTCTTGCTTGTTTCGGTTAGTAGGCCTCGTCTCTCATTTATGATTAATACACGATTTTAATTGTCTCAATAATCTATCATTTCCGCTTGTGATTAGTGGCCGTATTTTATCAAATAGACATCCATTTGACTGATTACCGGCGGGTGTGAGTGACGATGTGGTGCGTACACAGAAACGCACTTTTACTTGTCAACCGATCAACGTGGAATGGACGCTCGTCAGTCACGGTCAGCCGGTTCAGCGCTCTTTCATTCTTATTGTGCATCTAAACTCAGTTTTGTATGACTTAAATGTTACGTTTTATGCTCATAATCGATAAAGGGCCAACTTAGGCCGATTGCGGATTGACATGGGGTTATTAATGATTGAACGGGTGACAGGGGGTGGAAATGTCTTACTTACTTCCACAGGTAGATACAGAAATGGATGGCGAGAGAAGTAATCGGTTTCGAAATACAACTTCTGTTCAGGTGAACATTTATTACTATATCCGATTATGACCAAAAAATCAACATTTTTTTATTCTTATGAAAAACTAGTACTATAATCCATTTCATTTAAATTGGCATAACAGTAGGCCATGATTGTGTAAACTGCGCTTTAAATGTGAAAAAGGCTTTACAATTAAGGAACTAAATTTGTCACTAAAAAAAGTGAGGTTAAGATGGTTAAAATTTTATTTTTAAAGAACCCTCTTTCAAAGGTTTTCAGAGAGAGTTTTTCTCCATAAAAAGTTTCATCCCTTTGTAGGTGTAGTTTTGACACCAAAAACATACACTATTTGCTTTGGAGAGAAAATATAGACTTTCGTTGATAACAAATGGCTTCCTGAAATTTCAAAATACGTTTCATTCACACCGGAGAAGAAACACAATTTGTTTTCCGTGAAAGTTGCAGCCAAAAGGGGTTTGGATTTTTTCATTAGAAATGTAGGACAAAATTGTGAATTTTTAAACAATGGTAAAGTTGTTGCGATCGGAGTGGAAATCTGTACAAAATGAAGCCTCGCGTACCGAAGCTTGAAAAATCGTGTTTTGCCGTGGATAAATTCAAATTCAAATTGGTATATTTGATTCCATTCCACCTAAAATGCCTAAAACAGGAACAACAAAAAGAAATTGATTATATTTTCAAACATACCTTAGCGTGTACCTTAAATCTGGGGTTCTGAAGAGAACTACTTTTGATTATAATTTGAAAAAATAGTGGGAATAACGAACAAGCAACGAAAACAGTGAAAAAAGGAATACAAATGTCAGTCATGTCAGTTCAATAAACCATGTAGGTAAGTAATCAAAGAAAAACAAAAACCCCAGTAGCTATTATATCAGGGACATGCGCAGGGCTACAAACTTAAATAGGAAATTCCATAGCCACCTATTATGCCAATTTCAATGAAATCTACTTTATACACTGTGTCAATTTTAAAACTTGCAATCGGCAATTTCTCTCAACTGAAAAAGTTATTAATAATCACTCAAAACCGTTTTGGTGGTTCCTAAGGGGAATGAAAATGACATGATAAGTGACACACCTCCACCCACCCTTGAATATAGTAAAAAAAATGAAAATTTAACGTCTTCGTTTTTGAATAATTGGAAAAATAACTTTACCAAATAGGCTGTTGTATGACATTTTTGAAAAGCGCTTGTTATTGGCTTTCCAACGATGTATCGCAAGTAGGGTCGTGCCATTTAAAATTTTCAACTTAAGGTGGCTGTGGCTTGAAGGGAGGGTGGGTGGAGGAGCGTCACTTACCATGCCATTTTGATTCCCCCTAAAAAATACCGAAACGGTTTTGAGTGATTCTCAATAACTTTTTTAGTTCCAGCGATATTGGCGATTGCAAGTTTTAAAATTGACACCCTGTATGTAAAATTAACCGGAGAACACGCCTGTACAGGGTGCTGCATTTTGGATGTCCGAATAGGGAATCTCCGAAACTAAGAGGTTTAACCAAAAACGAGTAATACATTCTGGGTCTCATTTTTTGAGAAAATAATATTGGTTAAAACCGCATCGCGCTATCGTCTTTTGTTTTCGACTTACAGACAAAAATTGACATTTTAGCGAAATCTAAAAAAATTCATATCTTCGTTATTATAGAAGACACAGATTTGAAATAAAGACATTATACAGGCACTTTTTTACGTAGAATTTAATAATGTAGTTAACATTTTTTTTAGTTTGTTTAGCCGTAATAAAATAAACTTGTATTTTTTTAAATGGGAATCATATGTCATTTTTAAAAAGCTTGTTTTTTTCTTATCTAAAAAATATATATTTGTAACAAATTGTAATACATTTTTAGCAAAAAATTATCTTTGATTTTTGTTCGCAGTTGGCCATGAAAAAATGTTGCATCTTCAACTAAAAGGATTTAAACCACATTATTCAATAAGTGTCACTAATAAAAGAGTTTTCTAAGTACTAAGTAATGAAAAAAATGCAAAATAAATCGTAAATCAACTTTTTGGCGACTAATAACATTTCTTTGTTTTTAAACAAGCTATCATTACCATTGCAACTTCTAGTGATCTATAGAGTGTTGTAAAAAAAAGCCGCTTTAATTCTTCAATAAAATATATATTATATGACACAAAAATTTGATTTTCCTATTTTTTGATTTTTTAAAAATATGTAATAATTTTGTTCTGAGGCGCTCGGATATTTGTTCAATGCTTCTACCGTATCGTATTTTTTAAATCTTTATAATTTTATCTATTTTTTCGTCTATTTTACAGTTCACAAAACTCTTATTGATTATTATTTACACATTTGGAGTGAAATAGTTTTTCCATGGCCAACTATTATCAAACAAAATATGTATTTCACTTTTTAAGTATAGTTATAAAAAATATTTTGTTACAAATATATATTTTTTAGATCCGAAAAAAATAAGCTTTTCAAAATTGCCATAGCCGCCTATGATTTCCATTTAAAAAATACAAGTTTATCTTATTACGGCTAAACTAATAACTGAAAAAAATTGTTAACTACATTATTAAATTCCTCCTAAAAAAGTGCCTGTATAATGTCTTTTTTTCAAATCCGTATCTTCTATAATAACGAAGATATGAATTTTTTTACATTTCGCCAAAATGTCAACTTTTGCCTATAAGTCGAAAACAAAAGACGATAGCGCGATGCGGTTTTAACCAATATTATTTTCTCAAAAAATGAGCCCCAGAATGTATCACTCGTTTTTGGCTAAACCTCTTAGTTTCGGAGATTCCCTATTCGGACATCCAAAATGCAGCACCCTGTACAAACCGTTTTGACTTAGATTTTGAGATATGAAATTAAAAAAAAAACTGAAAATGGCTCTGTACCCGGAYCCATAACCCGGAGCGACTTCCGGTTTGCGCCATTAGATAGATAATTTCAAGCTAATTCTAATGGTTTTCAGCTTTTTTCTCTACGTCTTATAGTTTCGTAGAAAAACGCATTTAAAGTTTCAGAATTTTTACAATTTATAATTTTTTAACGACGATTACGGGCAAATTATTAGACTTAGAGCAAAAAGCTCAACACCATCGTAAGCAGCGTAAAAAAAATTATCGATTAACATCAAAGCCAAGTCCCTATCTCGCAAAAAATTGAAATGGTTGGAAAATTCGTAATTGGGGCGTCAAAATCTATTGGATAAGGTAGGTTTAAATTGAATCTGAGACATGTTCAAATTTTTACTTTCTTTTATTTTGTAAATTGCGGCAAAACTGTGTCTCAATGATATAATATTTTGGCATAAACTTATGTAAAATGTTCTGGGGAATCGATTGGCGTCAAGAAAACTGCAAAATTCCTAATACTTTTGAAGTTATAAGCGGATTTATATTTTTGTATAGAAAAAAAGCGTTTTTTATTAAAAAGAAAACAATCGATTTGCTGCAAATAATTTCCGCGGCAATTTTTTAATGAGAATATTTTCAACACTATAATATTGTTTTGATTGGCCAAAACTGACACAAATGAATAAAATTGAAAGTTTCTATTGTGAATAAAAATTTTCGAACTTTTGTTTCTTCCTCAAATTCGAAATTTGTGAGTTTAGAATTACGAATTTAATTTTAAGGTTTACCTACATAATTATGTTGGAATTCCGAATTTTACCGTGCTTAGTGGATGTTTGGGTGAAAAAGTCTAAACTTTCCGTTTTAAAGAGTTAAAATTAGTAAAAAAAAGTTGGAGTTTGAGTTGGAAAGTTGTAAAATCACTTTCTTCTATACTTTTATGTAATTGGAATTTTAATTTAAAAACCAGGATTTACAGTTTCAAAAAAACTTCGAAATCGTGAAATTTGTTTGAAAATTATATTGAGTCATCATAAATTTTTTGCCTTTGCAATGATTTTTTTTTTATTTAGACTTGTATTTGAAAGTCATAAATAATTTCTAATTATACTTGAATGTATGTAGATCGAATTTTTGAAATAAGAATTTTAGCACACTTTAAAAGTTTTGTTGGAATTCTTGTTGGAACCAACAAGAATTCTTCGCCTGAAGAAGATACAATAAAAGTATCGAAACGTCGCGACGAATTTAATGGTTTTTATTCCCCTTTGTCCTGTAAACCATATTCTACGTAATCAGGTTATCATATTTTAAGAGCAAGAAACACAAAAAGGAGAATTTAGAATTCAAGAGAATTCCCCTTCTAATGTTAAGTTTTCTTAGTTAAAGAGTTAAAATTTTGAAAAAAGTTGCGATTTCTTTGTATAAAGATAAGGTAATCAAGCTCAAAATGTGTCTAAACCTGACGTTTCCATTTTTTTTTTCATATAAAACATGTCTAAAAATTTGTGACACGATCACGTGTGTGGTGGAAAGAAGAATAGTTTTGACCATTGACCATTGAAACGTCTTATATTAATTTTTTATTATTTATCTTAATATTTAATTATTTTGCACTGTATTTGTAATAAAATTCACATCCTGAAAATTTTGAGTTTTGAAAATGAGAATTAATAGAAAATTGAGCTGTGGTTGTTGTTCTACGTTTTGCCACCCAAGATTTTTAAAATTTGCAGTCGGAATTCAACGTCAACGCCAAAAGATTTTTGTATTTAAATGTTGGAGTTCTGCGCATAGAACGCACAAAATTGGTTTCTAAGGATTTACATGAAATTTTGCGTTTTGAAAGTTAAATTTTTTAATTTGCATTAAGTTTTTTGATGTAATGAAAAATGCAGTTATGATCTGTTTTGTTTTCGTAATATCGAAATTCTTGTTTTTTGTACTAGAAATATATACAAGGTGATTTTAATAGTGGTGCAGAAACTTTAAGAAGTTGAATAATTAAGAACAAAAAAGACGAAAATAACTCAACATTTGTATAAGGCAAGTTGAAATATTTTCATATTTTCGGTCCTTATACTATCACTTCTTAAAATTTCTTCACAAGTAATTCTGAACTTATTGAATTAAATTTAAAGCCCAATATTTAATGGGAAATTCTACAATTAATAGTCAAAATTGACAGAAAAAAATATATATCCTGAGACTATTAATAATTTAAATTTGGAATACAAAAATTTTAGTTTGAAAGTTGAAAGTTTTCAAGAGTTAGAATTTAAAGTAGAAATTGTTTCTTTTGAAAAAGTATTTTTTTCAGCCTACTCGTCCTGGTCCCGCTTCTACAACACCTTCCCCGGCAAGATGCGTTCCATTTTCAATTTCAAAACAATTAATTTAGGTCACTATGTAACAAGTTTCGGCCTTAAAGAAACTCCCAGCAGCGTCGCAAAGATCATCAAAGGTCAAGTGGCAACGGTCCAACCACGAAGACTCAACAAAAAACTGGCCACCCATGGGTAAGTCAAATTTAAAATAGCATTACTTAATAATTGGCTAAGTTTCGGTACCATGCTTCACCGCTTTGACACCCATCGTGACTAATTTTAGCGACGAGTTTTGTTGAAAATTTGGAAATTTTTTCGTTAACTAATTAGAGGAAATAATTGGAATGGAACGGCTTGATCCGAGAGCTGTTTTAGTTATTGTTCGATTACAATCGTTATTATTTTATGGTGCTTTAACAAATCTATAATAAAGCGAGACTAACAGGGTTGTGTACGTTTCAATAGAGAAAATTGTCCCTTCATTTTATAACAAATGTTCCATTATTAAGCTTAATTTGAAATACACTTTGAAATGTTTCCTATTATCGCATATAAAGAACTCATTATACAGGGTTATTCATAAATATGAAGCAATATATGAACCTCAAAAATGACCCTTAAAATGATGTTAATTTAGATAATAACTCGTGTCCTATCTCTACTGATAAGAATTTTACTGCCCTCGGAATGTGGGTATGGAAATTTGATTTTTTTGTAGTAACTTTGAAACTATTTGACCAAATATTATAAAATTTGGAACATTTCCCTGTCACAACATACCCTTTGAACTGGTAATCACGAAAACCGGATACATCCACTCAATTTCCGGTTCCAGCAGTTGCAGGTCACATTTTCTGTGTTTTTCCATTTTTTTGCTCTCTTAACACCAATTTTTTATTGCCCAAATAGATAGTGATCAATTTCGAATAAAAAACGCATAACCTTTAATACCCCTAAAATGAACCGTTTCAAAGATATTTTAATTTAAACTGAGTACTGCACAACGCTGAAATCAAAAAATAGGGATTTTGAACTAGTATATGTGGTCAAATCCTATCGGATTTGATTAAGAGTTTCATTTTTATTTAAAAAAAGTGTCTTAGATTATAAAAAATAATGTTTGGGTCACTTCGAGTAGCTTCAGGTCGGTTCAGGTCACTTTAGGCCACTTCGGGTTACTTCGGATTACTTTGGCTTGAAGTAAAAAGAAAGTGTTAAATGTACTAACTTTAAGATTTTTAAAAGAAAAAAAAAATTTAAGGAAATGTTTAAATTTAGTAGTAAAAATGTCAATCGAGACGTTTCAAAACATCGTGCTACAAAAGACAGTTGGGGAGACTAAGAAAGTGTCAGATGTACTGGTTTAAAAAATTTCTAGAGTTGCAAAAAACGTTTAAAAATTTCTTAAAGAAATACTTAAAATTAAAAAAATGTCATTCGAGTAAGATAGTAAGATATAATAATAAATGGTATCCACGGCAACCAATGACCATGGTCACATAAATCCCTACCAGGCATCTGTTAACTTTGACGATAAATTTTTGTGAATTTTTTATAAATTAAATGCTACGAAATCGATTTGGATTTATTGTAGATACGTTTGGAGTCTGAAGTAAACTCTTTTATTAAATATTTTCAATTAATCGCCCAAGAATGGTCCAATGTCAAAGTTGACAGATACCTGATTTGTGAGACCATGGTCATTTGTTGCCGTGGATATCATTTATTCAAAATCCCTATTTTTTGATTTCAGCGTTGTGCAGTCCTCAGTTTAAATTAAACTATCTTTGAAACGGTCCATTTTAGGGGTATTAAAGGTTATGCGTTTTTTATTCGAAATTGATAACTCTATCGATGTGGGCAATAAAAAATTGCTGTTAAGAGAGCAAAAAAATGGAAAAACACAGAAAATGTGACCTGCAACTGCTGGAACCGGAAATTGAGTAGATGTATCCGGTTTTCGTGATTACCAGTTTAAAAGTTATGTTGTCACAAGGAAATGTTCCAAATTTTATAATATTTGGTGAAATAGTTCGAAAGTTTTTACAAAAAAATCAAATTTCCATACCCACATTCCGAGGGCTGTAAAATTCTTGTCAGTAGAGACAGGACACGAGTTATTATTTAAATTAACATCATTTTATAGGTCATTTTTGAGGTTCAAATATTGCTTCATATTTATGAATTACCCTGTAGACCTGTTACACCTGCACCTTCAAGTCGCAAAATGCACATATGGAAGTTGTCTTTATGATGAAAAAAATTTACCTTGGGGTAAAACCAACCATTAATCTGTTCGAAATCCTTTCAAATCAAGAAAATGGAACCCTTCTTAAGCGCCCTCTGGCGATATCTCTTCCGCTCCGCCCTCTTATCCGCGATTTGGTGTCTCCTTGCGTTTTCTCTCCGGTTAATAAATAAAACGTGGCGACAAACAATGCGTATCTTAGGCATTGTATAGCATAGACAATGGCGTTTCTAGCTGATACTCGTCTACAAAAACATCGAACAGCAATCGCAAATTGCCCGTGAAAAATGAGCTTAACAAAAGTTTGATACTGGCAAAAAACTCGCAGCTTATTTATGTGTTTAAAGTAGCGCTTTGTGTCCACGCCATGTGTCGGCTGGACGCATTAACCGAACCGATTCATTCCCGATCCGGTTTAATGCGATAATGACCCCCGCATTAATCAAATCGCACACACTGTGTTTCATGGCGAGACTTCTAGCTGCGAAATAATTACAAACGCGATTTGTATCGGTGCGAAAGCCACTGTTTGAAGAAGGCTTGATGGAAAAAGACAGATGCTCGTTCATTTAACTGATTTTTATTCAACTAATTGGAGTTGAGAAGAGAAAGCTTTGTTGTTATCAAATTAAAAACTTAATTACAGTATTAAGAAAAAAACTTCTAGAGAATGTAAAGTCTGTTTTTTTTTTTTTTTAATGGAAATGCCAAACAGTCTTAACGTTGGCATCACTAGTAAATTCATTCATGGTAATTTTAATAAAGGAAGTTGGCAGTTCCGGTTTTTTTAATTAATTTGAAAACAATGTCATTAAACGTCAACACAAAAAATCGAAAATTTAGAGACGAAACACCAAAAAAAAAAAAAAACAAATTCGGTACACTAACAGTTTTTCGAAATTTGGAAACGAATAGTTCGCAAGCAGGAGGTTAGAAAAAGGGCCCGTTAAAATGTAGACGCAATTTGTAATGCAGGTTTGCTAAACATTCTTAATTTTTAGCAAATAAATTGACAAAAATACAAAATAAACATGAATGAGAAAGAACCTCGGAAAGAACGCAATTAAGTTAGTGTCTTGTGCATCGTTTTTGAGGAACGAGTTGAAAAAGTAACAATTTTTAGACTAAAGCTGAAGAAGAATTTGTAAAATGCATCAACTTTGAGCTCATTTCAACAAATTACACAAAATTTATTGCGAATCTTCATAATACCCACTTGTATTTTTTGCTAAATAACTTTTTTCTGTATATACATCCTTTTTCTTCAAAATTTTTGTAATTTTTTTCAAAATTATTAGCACTGAATTCTGTCTTTAGACCTTAGGTAATGATGTCTGTCCTCAGGTATTCAATTATAGTGCTTTCAAAGAGCAAACCGGCACACAAGATTCATAAAAGTCAATATTTTGACATCTTAATTTGAACACATAACCAAAATTTAACAAAATTTCTAGGGACAAAAACAACAAGCAAACAAAATTTGTGGCTATGGAGACAAGCTGCTACCAATTTTTTCACCAAAATTTTGACTTGGTAATTTCCATTAAAAAAAAACAGACTTTAGTGTGTACTTTTTATCCATATTAATAGAGGTTACCATGGTGTACTCAGTTATAATACAACGAGTAGTCTAAAATTGTCCAATATTTGTATGACTGGCCATTCGCTTATGAACACCATGAGTGCGCATCACGAATGACCATGGATAAAAATATTCTAAATTTTTTGACTTCATGATTTCATTTTCACAGCAACCGGTAAATAATCAAGTTAGTTTAAAATATTCACTGCAACCACAGATGGAAGATTCAGTTATATTTTCACGTGCGGAATATTCGGTTGAATCTCCTGTTGCTAGGATACGAAAGTAAATATCTGCTATTTTATTGGTTAATATTTGAAAAATGGGAGATGAATTGAATAGTCAAAAATATATCTTCTAACCCTAACTTTGCTGATCGACGTTTCAATAACTCACTTTTTGCTTAAAATCTGAAGATTGTACCTCTGAAAGAACTTGACATTATCGTTTGCAACATTCTTTTTAATAAAAATATAAAAATTCTTTAGCGACTTACCTAGGTACTTCTTAAAATTTGAAAGTCCGTTCAACTCTATAATATCTTTTGCAACATTCTTTTTAGTGATTCTTAATAATAGTGAAAATGGAAACAAGTAAGTAAAATATAAGTAAGAAAAAAAAAACATTATTGTCAGATCACAAATCTTGGGTTGTGCAAAATTTAAAAACATTGCAAAACATAAAAAAGTGTCGCGAAACTCGCGCGTCTCAGAGTAAAGTAAGATACCAGGAATATGGAAAAAATGTTAAAAAAAACTTTATCTACAAAAATTTCGAAATTATGGGAGTTTAAATTTTGCACTTTGATATTTCTGTTGTAATAATAATTTTTCATGTCTTTTTGCTGCAGGCTATTAGAAGAGGAAACAAGGAAGTTATAAATTGTAACTCTGTTTAATGTTATTTGTGACTTTTATTGACAAAATTTGTGTACCTTTACGAAATAATTATGAAAAAACATTATACAAGATCATCAGTAACCTTAAATAGACATAAAAAATATCAGCTGTCAACAAATAAATGTCAAAACATTTTGACATTTTTTTTTCAGTGTAATACAGATAATTTTTCCTATGATTCAACAAGAAATACTTTAAAAATAAAAATTTTTCTTGATATCCTAGTTGCGCCTTTGAATCTAGCAGTGTGTTTTTCCATTTCTATGGGGGAGGTAAAATTTTTACCTCCTTGAGAGGTTACATATACACTAATCACATAAAATATACCATAATAAAGGTACAAAAATTTTGTCAATAAAAGCTACAAATGATATTAAACAAAGTTGCAATTTAGGATACAGCTTCCTTGTTTCCTCTTCTAACAGCCTGTAGCAAAAAAACTTGCAAATTTTTTATTTTTCTAACACAAATAAATAGAGTCAAAATGTTAAATTTAAACTCTAATAGCTTCAAAATTTTTATACAGTATGTCCCCGGATTGGGTTTACAAGAGAAAAAAAGTTTCATCTTTAATTTTACGCCAAAACTGCAAAGGTAAAACATTTTTTGCTTTATCTGAAACGAGCAAATCTTTAATTAAAACTTCATTATTTTAACTCACTAGAAAGAAAAGTTCATTTAAAAAATTTTTTTCTGTTTTTAAGTCCTATCACATTGGCGGTTTTATTATTTTGACAATGATCTCACTTTGACAAATTAGTTTACGCAAGTTAATTAACAAGTATCTTTGTGAAAAACACGATTTTTATAAATATGAACTCAAAGAAACGCTTTAAGATATAAACCAAAATCATTTTTAACAATAACTATCGTTATTTAATTAATAAATTAATTGTTAAAGTGACATATAGTTGTCAAATAAATAAAACCGCTAATGTGATAGGACTTAAAAAGCAGAGAAAAAAAGTCGAAAATCAAGACAAAATTAACTTTTCTTTTCACTGAATCAGAACAATGAAGTTATAAGTACAGATTTGCTTGTTTCAGGTGAAGCAAAAAATGTTTTTCTTTGCAGTTTTGGCGTAAAATCAAAGATAAAAAAAAATCCTCTTGTAAACCCAATCCGAGGACATACTGTAGATAGAATAATAGATAATGTAGACTTTTTTAAACATTTTTTGCATGTTCTTGGTATCTTACCTTACATGTCATTTTTCTCTGAGGCGCGAGTTCTGTAATTTTGACAGATGAAGGAAGAAAATTTCTACTTATTTCTGTTACGTCCCTAGCAAAAATGTGTATTTTATAAACAGATTTCATAAAGGAGTATGGACACGTATGTAATTTCTTTTTTTTTAATGTTTAAAACTGTAGAGGATTTTATGCATTATTCCAGGTAAGACACAAGAAGAAATTGAAATTCAAGACGTATAGAAATCAAACTTACATCTTACATTTTTCAAAAGCAAAAGTATAAACTTTTATACTGATCTTATGAAAATCACGAATGTGGAAAGGAAACTAATAGAAAGCAAAACAAAACCAAAAAAATCAAGCAATAAACGAAAATTACTTACAAATTATACCAGCAAGACTTTCAACGACGATAGTAATTTCCATTGTCAATGTCAAGTTGAACATAACACTTAGTAGTGTAATTGTAGTACACATGTAAATTAATGTTCAAGGCTCTTAGATACCCTTTAAATGTTTCAATTTACGAGTAGATAGGTACATTGTGATGTTTTTTTCACATTTGGATTGGTAAGGAAAAAATAAAATTGATGACGTACAAGACTCCGTGAATTCAATAATATACTTATTTAAAAAAAAAATAGTGCCCTACAATTGCGGATACGGAATTTTGGACATCAAATTTATGTCAGTTCAAAAAATGTCAATGTAAGCCACATTTTATTGTCATTATGATTGACGTTTGAAACTAAAATTCTCTAGCTGGCAGGATAAAAATTACAAAAACCGAAAGTGAGGTTAGTTTCATAACGCCCGTTTTACATCGTCCAAAATTCCGTGTCTGCATTTGAAGCTTAGAATAGTGCTGTGAAACTAATTCTCAGTTTTATTTCTTATTACTCTGTTAAGATTTAGCTATTAAACAGTTCAGAAATTGGGACTTTACTTAGAAGATTATTAAATATAGACATAAAAATTTGGCCGTAAGCTTCCTCATAACTAGGTCCTACATCGGCATAAATGTCTTTCCAATTTTCATTCATGGCTGTTTTTACTATATTAGTGAACTCCTTATCCCCACCAAACAGATCATTCGAGAATTCGAAATGCATTTTTTGTGGCTTAATGGACAGTGTTTTATTGATAACTTTTAAATATTTTTCACCTTCCTTCTCATATTCTTCTAAGTTGAAAGTAAGTATAAACTCTGGTTTATCTAAAAATAAGCAAGTAATAAACACAAAAATTTGTTTTTACTAGAATTACCAACAGTGATCATGCCCGTTCCTTTCCCTTTAATCGGAAAAATCAAAATTTTGCCATCGACTTCATATTCAAAATCTGACAGAGTTTCCAAGACATGTAAATCAATTTTCAAAATATTTTCGGTCAGAGTTGCATTAATTGACTCCACTTTCGTAAAGCCGTAGATTTTGAAATTTTTGTAGTTTTGGTTGAACTGGACAGGTCCAGTACCAGCACCGATGCTCAATGCTGGGATTTCCAATGGGTCTAAACTGGGCAAACCCACTTCTTTTATCGGAACTGTTAATTGTTCTAAAGCATCTTTAATTGAAAGTGTTAAACATTGATTGTCATTTCTGCTACATTTTTTGAAACTTGCAGCTAGAAAAATTTTCTGTTTTAATTTTAAGATACAAGGTGAACAAAAAGCATAAACCAAGCGTTTTTCTTTAAATATTTTGTTTTCAGAAAATAGTCATTAATAGCAATTAAAGTGCTGTAAAAAATGTGATCGCGTTTTTGAATTATGCGATTTTTTTGTGGTAACTTATTATTTTTTATACAGTGTGTCCCCGGGTAGGTTTTTTGAAAATTTTCAAGGAACACTTGATTCTTCAAAACTAAAATTATGTTAGGAATTAGTCTTTAACCAAGCAGGGATGAACCCCAAAAAATGATTTTAAGTCGAGAATTTTTTTCTTTTACAAGAGTCGTTTCACCTATACGGGGACACACGTATATGAAAATTTATTTCGATAAAAATTGAATATAATGTATATTGGGTGTGTCAAAATTCGCGCCCTAGAGAAAAATTTTAAGTAAGATAAGGTACCAGAAACAAGGAATCTTTAAAAAAATCAAAAATATTTGACCTTTGACATTTTTTATGTCTAGTGATCTTGTATATGTTTTTAATAATTATTTAGGAAAGATACAAAAATTTTGCTAATAAAAGCCACAAATAACATTAAACAAAGTTACAGCTGCCTTGTTTCTTCTTCTAATAGCCTGCAGCAAAAAGACATAAAAAATTATTTTCCAACAGAAATATCAAAATGCAAAATTTAAATTTTCATAGATATTTTTTTTTTTACTTTTTTATGTTCCTGGTATCGTACAGTTGGAGACAATATACTTTGGTCGTCACTTTTCTGACACTTAAATGACAATTTCAAATTAACGACAGCTATTATATTTTCCTATCAACAATATGTACATACAACTATGATTGACAGTAGCTAAAAATAAGGTTAACAGTCCTAAAGCATGCTTTACAATTTAATGTCACTCACATGACGTTGACGACTAAAATATTTTGTCTCCAACTGTACTTTACATGGCATTTTTCTCCGGGGCGCGAGTTCTGGTGCACCCTGTATAGTTGAAATCCTTACATCACAGCTTTTGTAAAAAAAGGTTTCATAGTGGTTACTATTTAAAAATATTAAAAACCGCGCAGAACTCAAAAACAAAAGAAATCTTGAAATTCTTGAGAAACGTCACATTATCATTCATCAATTAGTTTGTTTAAAAAATAAATAGTTTAAGCAAAAAACGTTTGGTTCACCTGGTATATGACACTTACGCAGTTTCTTACATTCGCTTAAATCAGCTATTATTACTAGAAATACCACTAAACACTTACTCATGTTGTTATTGCTTGATACTGAATGATAGAATTGTGTTTAATTACCAGGGTTTTTAAATAGCAGGTTTTTTTTTTTATGAAAATAATCAAGTTAAAAATTGTACTTATTTACATAATTAACCAGATTTTCTATATACAGGCGTATTTTAAATAAGAATCAAAAACAAGAAATTAAAAAAAGCATTTGGTACGGAAACAACTTGTGGACTCTACATGTATGTATATTTTTTATTTTCAAAAACATGAAGATTCAAAAAGTCGGAGTCACTTAGTGCAGTAATTGTTTTAATTTAGTTACATATAAAACAGCTGTACATATAATTACTAGTTAGTAATTTAAATAAAAACCTGTCTGTTGCAAGTATTTTGAGGACATGGTCCAGAAAAAAAACAGCAAAACTTAACCTTGAGGTTTGTTTTCTTTGTATTTATTTAGTTTACATTACATAAGAGAATTAAATAAATTAAAACCTAGTTTTAATACATTTTTAGAAATCAAAACTTTTGACATTCGCTAAATTTCTTCAGGGTTCTAACAAACCAATTTTTAATTTCATATATATTTAAAAAACGTCTTTTTTATGGTCAAGGCAATTTCAAATCAAAAAACGACGTCCGGATTCGAATTCAGCAGAAATTTTTTAACTTAAATAAGCGTCTTTTAAGGTGCTTGCTCTAAAAAATTTAAACTCTCATAACTTATAGATATTTTTTTGACATTTGTCCATGTTCCTGGTATCTTACCCTGTATAGTTTGGTATTAAAAAGTTGGTGGTCTATCACTCTGAGGACAAATTTAGTTATTTGGTAACTAAAAATCGAAAAAATTGGTGACCGCTAAAATCACACTCTAAAAATACCGGTTATACTCGAAACTGTCATTGGTGTTTATTATGACACGTTATATTAGAAAATGATTGCTTTTAATAAGCACACCCTATACAGGGTGTTCGGTCCAAGTCGCCCCGTCTGATTACACCTAAACTTACTTCTTTTTTTCAAAAAGTAAATGTTTAAGTAATAATATTCATTCTTGGCTTTCTTAATAAATGTATCAAATTTTTTTAACACATGTGGTGTTGCCGGAAATGCTACCAAATTTAGTTTTTCAAATGGAACACCTATGATTTTTTTCCTCCAAACAATAATAATTGACATGAAAAATACTGTAAACCACTATTTATTACATTTTGCCTAACACAATGCCATCAAAAAACATCTTAAATCTTAGAATTTTTCAAGGAAATTGGTCGCGTAGCCTGATTTTTAATTTTAAAGGAAATGTGTGAATAAAAAAATGCTTGGATACAGTTTAATTGTTGGTTTGACAAATCTAATTTGTCAGTTGATGAGCGAGTTCTCTTATGGAAACTCTTGGATTTTCTTCGACTGATAACAGAATATTCAGATTTCTATTTCCTTGTTCTTCACAAAGAACCACAAGTTTTTTAGTTTTAAGAAGAAGATTCGTCTCAGTTGTTTTTCAATTCGAGTAAATTTCCAACGATTTGGGTGAACTCTATTTGAGTATTTTTCTCTATACTGTCTTTCAGCTTCCGTTCTATTTTTATTACACTTCAAGCTGATCTACCAATTCGTCGTAATTAATATCATCCATTATTAAAGATTTCAATAAGATTTATTGACAAATTAAGCTTTGTCAAACTAACAATTAAACAGTATCCAAGCATATTGCTTTTTTCATGAATACCTTGAAAAGTAAAATTCGCCTACGTTGCAAAATTTGCAATAAAATTCAAAAATTTAAATTGTTTTCTGAGGGCATTATGTAAAGTAAAATGTAATAAATAGTGGTTTACCGTATTTTTCATACCAATTATTATTGTTTCGAGCAAAAAAAAAACATAGGTGTTCCATTTGAAAAACTAAATTTGGTAGCATTTCCGGCTACACCGGATGTGCCAAAAAAATTTGATGCATTTACTAAGAAAGCGAGGAATGATTAGTAGTATTTGAAAATTTAGTATTTGAAAAAAAAAAGTAAGTTTAGGTGTTATCGGCCGGGGCGACTTGGACCGAACACCCTGTATATTCGTAGTAAATTTCGTCGTCCATTTATGGTTAAACCAAATTTCCTCATTCTTAATTGGAACACTCCCCATTTCCAAATTAGCCCCGAGATTAAGTTATTATCTCTTTACAGTCAATAGGGAAATTAAATGTGCATTTTAAGTGTTTAAACATGTCCTTAAGCACTGGAATGATTTGTTAAGAGAGTAAAAACCCTTAAGGCTCTTAAATATTTGCTAGTTTTGAGGAACTATGCAACTTTAATGATCCGAATCCTCGCATAGAAGCTATTTTAGCCTCAACTGTTTGATGGATGTAGCCACTAATTATATCCTAGATTAGATATTAATTATTTTTACGTCGGTAGCGTCATTGCCATAAACGGCAGTCCTTCCCACTTACCGGCGGTGTTTTTCATCCGGTAGGTTGTCGGCACTGCTTTACTCTCATCCACCGGCGTACCAACTCATAATCATGTATAAATGTAATTAATGAATCCGCGTGATTAATCGTTAAGTTGTTACAGAAAAAACGCACCACCGGCTTTATTAGATTTATTACTTTTTACATTTTTATACGTTATTGCGTTCACATCCAATTTAAGTTTGAAAACAATGAATTATAAATTACCAAGGCGGGTGATGCGGTTTTTTTCAGAGTTAATGGCGTGTGTGGTTTTTGTTTTTACGTTTTCGGGGTAATTTTGATATTAATGATGGAAGAAATGTGATAGATCATTAGGAAAGTCTACTGGTAATTAAGATAATCGATGTTTTGTTTAGGGATGAAGAAGAGGTGAAGCCGCAGAAGAGGAAAATCAAGTCAGTGAGTTTGACCACGTCGGAGTTTGCGAGCGGGTTGGAACCTAAAAAGAAGAAGAATAAAAGAAAAACATAATGTACTTTCAATTTAATAATTTATAATTTTGAAAATTAGCAAAACAACATCATTTATTAAAATTATTAAAATTTTATTTTCTTCAGTTTTTTTATTCTTTCATTTTTGCAAGATTGTAACGCCCATTTAACACCAAGATTGTTGCCAAAGGAAAAAATAATATGCAACTCGGGAGGTAAGTACCTTAATTTAATGTTTTTTTTTTATTTTTAAGTGTTTTTCTTTTTTTTTGTATGTTCAGTGTATTAATTTTAAATATGGATAAAACTAACTTTTAGACTAGTGATTTTTTCCGACTGTACATACAGAATATTCCAGTTTAAAAATTTTTGATTGGAATTTTATATTTAAAAAATGTAGTCATGGTGTTTACACTTATTACACGTAGTTTTATTAAGTTTGTCATAAAAAAGAGCTTGCCTCGTGATGGATGCACACTATTTTTCTCCGTCTACACACAGTGTTCCAATTAAAACTTTTCAGTTAATTAAATTTTTATACAAAGTGGCTTTTGGTGTTGAAAGTTGGCAACATTGCAAGACGTAGAGATTTAAAACATAAAAATTGGCAATAATTTTCATTCTAATTCCAAAGTTACAGACCAAAATGCTTTTCTTTTCTCAAGTTTTGTATCCTGTTTCAAGTAGAATTGTTTCAACAGAAATCTGTTTTGTCCTGTAACAACAGGACTGTTTTGAAATATTCAAAATAGTATATTAAAGAAGGCAAATTTTGTTCAAGTCAGTTTATGAAACGAACAGTTTCATAAAGTTTTATAGAGAACGAGTTCCCACAAATGACTTATAAAACAAGTTTTTCTATGCTATTTTTCTATTTTTGCGTTTTACGCATTTTACGCACCTTTGAGCTGTGGTTGGTAATAAATGTCTCAAAGTTTGAAAGTTCGATTTTCGAAGTGTCAAATCTCAAGTATTTTTCCCAGTTTTAGTGCAAAAATTTCATGCTCACCACCGATAAATCGCTCAAAACGCCGCTGAAAATCATCATGACCAACCTCTAGAAAGTAAATTGTACTACTTTATTTCAGCACCCGAATTAGTGTTGAAATGGCTCATTAAAGCATCGGTTTTGGTATCGAAATAAGCTTTCTTTCAGACGCAAAGTAGAAAATAATATATTAAAATACAAGAGTGACAAACACTTTCATTGTGATACAAGTAGTTTGCACAATTGCACGAGTATAACTATATAATAAATGAGAGGTTGTAATACCCGTTTTTTATACTGTTTTATCTATTGAGCGCTTTTTAAATTGAATTTATTATTATATTTGGCAGTTAAAATTGATGACATTTGGTATGCGAAACCCAAATTGCTTGATGAAATTTGTCATTTTAAAACGACAGTATGCAGCCAGAGATGGCAAAATTATTACATAAAATGTTACCAAAAACAAAGTTTGCAAAGTTACAAAGTTGCATTTTGTGCAACATTTACACTCATTGTGACACCGAAATAGAAAAAAATAAATATTTTACAATTTATACTAGGTAATACTAGTTATTATACAGACTGTTCTAGAACTTTCTTATTCTCATTGCCATGACAAAATTTTAAAAACTTTTTTGAAATTTAAAGTAGAACGAATTTGGTCGAATAAATTCAAAAACGGAAACGGATTATAAAATTGACGTTGAAGCTTTTGTAATGTTTGCTACCACAATCCAATGTACCGAGTAAGTCTAGTTAGGGCATCTGTACCTATATTTTAATAGTTTGAAAAAGAAATAAGAGAAGTAATTTTGATACGAGCTGCGTAGCGAGTTGAGGAACAAACGATTGATACGATTTATACGTTTTTTTTGCACTTTTTATGCTATTTTTAAAGAAAAAAGAGAAGTTTTAAGTTTTTGTATTATATTTGGTGACATGTAATAGTGATATTTATGAAGACTTTGGAAAATTCTCAAGAAAAACATAAAATACTCTGTTAAACGAGTTTTTTAATAGCGTTATTAAAGACACAAAATAGATTTTTTATATCTCTGTATGGACATTCATTAACAAAAATTCTCGCTAAACTTTTTCAAAGACACAACTATCTACACTCTTTTTCTAGAGAATTATGTAAAAAAAAATAAATCAGACGCACCAAAATGTCATGCACAAAAATTTGAATCGAGCTATACTCAAAAAAATTGTATTCTGTTTCTAACGAATGATTTATTCAATGGTTTTGATTTATTGCAATTACAGCAAACCTGTAGTTAAATAAATCCACACCTCTATTGTTAGATCGAAATAAAATTACACCGAAGCGTTTAGTTCTTCGACCATTTCACCTGTTCTAGTGTCTAATTATGACGTTTCATGTATTAATTAGTTTAATTTCAATCTAACCACAGTGTTTAGTCTGCCATCGGCGCAAGAAAACTCAGTTTTGAATGGTCGACCCGTCCGACCTCAATGTAGTCACTTCCCACCTAAACTAATTAAAGCCGATTGCCATCACAATAGCGGTAATCCATCGCCGATACAATAGACTTAAGCCCATGCTTTGTGAACCGACCGAACTCTAAAAGGAATTTTTTTAATGATTACATGCAATCATTAGTGGTTTTTTGAGGGCGCGGTTTTGTACCTCAAAATATTAATTTGTTACTTTTTATGAAAGCTTCAATTAATAACCGACAAAGTGCTCAAACGATTCCTCTAATAAAACCGGTTGTTTATTTATTTTTTTACCGATCATCGGAGCTTTATTACCTCACGTAATTAATTAATCGCTATTTTAATCCAGATTTAAGTTTTAGTTACGCTTCTGGGAATCATATTTTTCAACATAATTTCGATTTTCGAGGCGATTAGTGACGCTGGAATTTTAAGGGTCATCGTTTTAATTATGGAAAAGTAAATAAAAAATATGAAAGGCACCTGTTTTGACCAGAAGGGATAATTAATGATTTAAATGGAAAAAATCAGAATTTTGTGTGTTTTGCAGGTAGCTTGAAACGTCCTTTAAGGGTTGGACTGGAACAAATTACTTGACTCGAATCACGCTATTTGTTCATTAGAACTAATTAATGAATCAAATGTAAAATTAAAACGACTGTAACAATGTGAAAATCTATATCAAGAACAATTGCTTTTATGATTTGTTCTAAGTATGGAAAATGAATTCCGGAAAGAAATCGATCGAGTTATTGCCGTTATTAACTCGAAATGAGCTTTTTTATTGATTGACTTAATGAAAAATAATTTTTCTGTGTTAACAAACAAATAACAAAACAAACAAAAGCTATTTCAATAATTGACTCTAACGATTATAATCAATGGAAATCACAAGCGGCATGTCATTATTTATTCTTACAAATTCACTTAACAATGACTAGTCAACAAAAACGTGCAATTTCACCCCTCTTACTTCTTGCAGACTTAATTAACTAATAATTTTGCCTATTCAAGAGATTTACTTTTATTTTGGTAATGAAACGAAGGAGAAAGAAAACAGAAATGGGTCATTGCCGAAAAAATTACACAAAAGAATGGCACGCACAATTAGGTGATTTGTTCGACTTTTTTCACGTAATTGTGATCATTTTTGACCAAATGTGACCTAGATTTTAACAATCAGCAATTGAAAATTATGTTAAATGTGTTAAGGGTAGGATCTTATAAATTAATGCTTTTAATTTTTCATACAGGATGTTCGATAAATACACTTAACATATTTTAACAAACCTTAATTATATTAAACGAAAAAGCTCTTAAATGACTAAAAATAACTGTATTGATGTTTTCCTGTTTAATTGAATTTCTGATTTCGAAATTAAGTTGGCAACACTGAATAATGTAAATTGACACGTCTCATACCTTCTGTTTTCACCTTACTCAATGCTGACAACTTAACATTAAGAAAATTAAAAAGACGCACGAAAAAAAATGAATTCTTCTTTGCAAAGATAACACAAAGCTTTTTTTTTTGTAGCTTTATGGAGCTTTGCTTAACGTACTTTTAAAAATTATGAAACACAAACAAAGTGTCTAATAATTATGACTTATCAGACAAATTGAAGCACCTAGCATTTTTTAAGAACGTACTGTGTGTTATTTTATTTCATAAATGGATTCCATGTTTAAAGAAAATAATTTAAGATTGTTAATTTGCCATACCTAACCTGATACTATAATATTTACGAAGATTTTCTTTCGGTTGTGGAAAATGCTCATTCTTAAAATGTGAAAAGGCTGGGATCGCGTTATTTTGCAAAAAAATATTTTTTAATAGCTATTAAAACAACAAGATTACTCTGAGGTCTTTATTATATTTTTCATATTTCTAAATTTTATTAAAAATTTTGCTTTTCTGTAAAGGAATCTTTTTTTAACGAGGTTTTTTATCGAAAATATTGTTTAATAAAATGTGTATTTTTCTGAAAAATATTTACATTTTTTGAGTTCGTTCGTAAAGTGAACAAAATAGTCCGTAACCTGTTGTCTAATGCATCTTGCATATTACCTAATATAAATAATTAAATACAATTTCAGTACTTAGGTGCTTTTTTACACTCAAACATAATTTTTAACTCATTGGTGAGTTATTTTTTAAGTCACTGAGACGGATTTACATACAGGGTGATTCAAAAGTGTCGAACCACCTCATGGGTGGTGATAAGGACATTCAACTGAGTTTAAAGTTCCCGTGCCAAAAAATTGTTTGAGATTTTTTTCACGATATATCTCTTCAAATATTAGATTTCGGATTAAGTTTTTGGCAGTTCCAATTATGTAATCTTAAATTTAGTTAGCGGAAACGGCAGATCTTGCAACAATAAACAGATACCTGTTGAAAAAAAAAACACAATTTGTGTCTTATGTTGTAAAAAAACATTTAACAAACTAGCAAATTCAACAATAAATTTAAAAAAACTAAGATGCCTACATAATATGAAAATTGACATTTCTGTTTTTTTCAAAAAATAAGCTTGAAACAAAAATCTGGATCATTTTTATGCTTAGCTTATTCGAGAGTATAGGTCCGACATTTTTTAATCATCCGTGTATATCTACATGTACCATTGTACCTTGAAAGTGTTTTTTTAGCGTGGAAGAGATATCAT